ATAATGACTCCAAGATCTCTTTCTGCCTCCGTGCTCTCAAGTAGGGAGTTCCCCATTGTGTAAGTGTGCTGCTGGTTCCTACTGCCCAAGTGCAGCACCCTGCACTTGTCCGTATTGAAACGCATCCTGTTCCTGTTAGCCCACCCCTGTAACCTATCCAGATCCTTCTGCAATCTCTCACTCCCTGCTTTTGCCACTGTCTGTGTAAAGGAGCAGAGGATAAGAATACAAAGAGGTGGTTTGTTATGTGAACTGCTAAAATTTCAATCATAACCCTACTGTGCCTTGGCACTTCCTCTTTATGTTACCAGTATACCGCTATAAAAATATCCAAAATATTTAATTACTGCTTTCTTGTGGGTGGGGGGGGAGGTCTTTGAATGTGTTCCTCTGAATGCCTTCATGCTGACCCTGCTTGAAAGGGAACATAATGTTTCTGGTAATCACTGGTAATTAGGGTAGTAAAAGATGAGGAAATGGTTTTGAGTTTCGTGCCCTTTACAAGACTAATATTTTTTAAATGAGACTCCAAAGCCTGGTGGTAGCCGCACTTGGAGCCTCTGTCCAAGGAGGAAACAAGCTGGCAGCATTGGTGTAGCAAGTTGCAACTGTCTGCACAGAAGCACATCGGCGCCGTTTTGTGATGGGCAGATGGGTCGTTCTGGGATGGGTCACAGCTCACTGTGTTAGCTTCCAGGTCCATCCAAATTTCAGCCTCTATGAATGTCAAATAAACTTGTTAACACGCAGGTTTTTTTAACAATGTACCCCTGATATTTAATGTACTGGTATATAGGTGTTTAGCATACATGACTTATGTAACATCAAACCTTTGGTCACTGCCTGTACACCATAACTTAGGACCCACCCAAATGGGTCCTGGATAGGATGTGGCATTGCTAGAGACTGTGTAAGTGACTGAGAGAATTGGCAGTGCTGTAGAAAGGGGTGGGGGGCGAACAGAGCGACCGCCCCAGGCACCAAAGAGAAGGGGTGCTGACAGGTGCTGCCCAGCCGGGACAGGGAGCAGGATGGAGCCGCGAGTGGATCATTTGGGGGGGCACAGGGACAGTGTGGCTCCCGCCTCTGCGTGCACTCCTGGGCAAACATGGGGAGGTCGCGTGGCCCCTGGATCTGCGCACAGGGCGAGGGCAGGCTGCTACTGCGGACTCTGCCCCAGGTGGCAAACTTCATTGCTACAGCACTGAGAACTGGAGATTCGCGCCCTTCCCGTAGGCTTGAACCACATTTGGTTCCATGTCCATACCAGGAGCTGGCGGTGATGGGGTCTGTAACTCTGTGTGGGACAGGGAAAACTGGGCCTTCGTGCCTTTTAATGTGGAGGGTAAGCCAGGCTTACGAGCTCACGGCTATTTGTGTGGCTGGTATTTAGACTCCGCACTCTGTTGGCCAAACAAGTCTCAAGCTCAGCTGGACGGCCCTTCCCCACTTGTGTGCCATGCAGTAACTTCCGAATGCCAGGCCCAACCCGCTCCAAAACTGCAGCGTAAGCTCTGGGCTTCAGCTGGCAGAACCTAGCAAAAGAGATTAGGAACGGGAAGCAGGGCAGAGAAGGCCTTGAGCAGGAGACCCGGCACCTCTGCACCCCAAAGAGGTGTGGGACAGCCCTTAGCAACCCCCTCCAGCTCAGCTCCGCTCTGACAGACACCAGGACTGACTCCTCTCAGCAGGCAGGAGAAAAATAAAACAAGCACATGGGTGAAAGGATTCATAGGGGGGACGCTGGGTCCCTGGCACGTGGCTGAGGGGACATGTGGCAACCACGCTCGGTGCGGGGGGCAGTGGGGAGCATGTGATCTGAGAAGAGCCTGGTGTGAGCCAGGTGGGGGAGCGGGGGCGGAGCCCCGACACGAAACACATGCACATGCCCCTGGACACGGGGCGCCACCGCCCCGGGCAAAGGGGGCTAAGACCATAAGAGACAAACGGGGGGGCGCGAAGCACAGGGGGCGCCTGCCACGTGTCTCCCCCCCGGCGGCACATGGGCCAGTCCAACCCCTCCCCCGCGGGGATCAGCGCCAGATCCCGCTCCACTGAGTCATTCTTCTCTCCCTCCCCCAAACCCTTCCTCCAGCTTCTCGCGAGACATCCCCGCAGTAGACGCGATGTCCTTTGGGGAAGCAAAGAGGAGGGGGCAGGGGGAGGTTGGCGCGGGTTGAGAGCTAAGCACGGCAGCCAATAGGGTGGACAGAGGGCGTCCATCCAGCCAATGGCAGGCGCGCGGGGGCGGGGCGCGCCGTTGGCTGATTGATCCCAGCTTTGGCGTTGTTCAGTCCGAGCGAGAACATTCTAGAGGTGAGTACGGGGCGGCCATTGCCGGGCTCCCAGCCGCTGCCCCCTCCCCTCCAGCTCCAGCTGCGCCCGCCGCCGTCACGCAGGTGCCACCGCTAACGATGCACCCGCCCGCGTGTCTCCCGCAGGTTGTCCGGCGCCGCCGCTGCCCCTGCTGATCCCGCCCGCCTCAGGACGCTCGGACCCGGCGGCTGCGGCGCCCGCCTCCGCCTCTCACCGCCCGCCTATAAGCGCCGCGCCGCCCGGTTCTCCTCACGCACTCGGCTTCGTCGCGGCCCGGGACGAGCAGCGTTGGGTTTATGTCTTTATTGGACGAAAACGGTGAGTCCCGCCCGAGACGGGGAGGTGAGGGGGGTGCCTGGGGCTGAGGCACGGCGGGGTCTTGCGGAGGGTAGGGGGTTGCAGGGGACGTTGTGGGGGCTGGGGGGTGGCAAAAAGCGGCGGGTCAACCCCCCTTCCCCGGTCTCCTCCCCGCCCCACGCGACGAGACAAGATGGCGGCGGGGCCGCGCCTCGGCGTGATTGGGGGGGGGCCTGTGGCGCAGTTTCGAATCCGCAGCGCGGGGGGAGGGACCGCACTAGAACGAGGCTGCGGCCGCTTTTGGAGTGCGCATGCGTGCGAGGAAACTTTTCCTACTCTCATCTCGGTTTTAGGGCTGACTCAGTGCTTCGCTGCTGCATTTATGACTCATCACTGCTGCGAAGGGGGAAGGGGAGGGAGACGGCCCTCCTGCTTGCGCAGGCTCTGTCCTGTGAGGAGCAGTGCTGCCCCTGCTGTTGCGGGAGGGTGGGCCGCTTCAAGACACAAAAGCAGTAGTCTGTAAAGGAGGGCGTAGTTTAGAGGCACCATCTTTTTGGACACGTGTTCAGGTCACATGCAGCCTTCTCTGTTCTGTCCCTTCCCCCCTACCCCCCCTGCAAAAAGCTCTCTTGCAGTTCTGCAGTAAATCCAATTTTTAGTAT